GAGTATTTTTCTGAGTTCTGGGTTCTGCTCTCCTGTGCTGTCACCTTGCACTGAGCCAAATTCATCCTCAGAACCTTGGTCAATCTGGGGGTCTTTCACATCACTCATTTCTGCCATCTGGCTTCGAGTCAAGGGCATAATCCCCCCTCAGAACAGGCTGCTTTAAAAGTCAAGCCTCAAAATAAAACGACCACTTTTTTCCTTCTTGCCTCAGAACCAGCTCTCCCTAGAGATTGCTGCTGTTCTTCAGCACTAAAGTTGCAACAGTATCGAGTCAGAGCCTACCCCCCTCTGCTGGGCCTCTCAGCTGGCAAGCTAGCTCGCTGTTACTACGCAGTTTTGCCTCAGCTTTTTCCCGCCAAAACTAGGCTGCCTCAGAGCACCTTAATCTAAGTCTCCCCAGTTGGCACGTTCTTCTACTAGTGCACCTCCCCGTGAGGTACACCTAGAAGATTACCTACGCGCCTCAGACTGTCCCTGACTAGACCCCCCTTGCTCTGGGCACACTTGCCAAGGCTTTGCTGGACCGCTGGACAACTGGACCAGTCGTATCCCACCGCTGCCACCAATCAATGTGACAAACCCAGACCTACTGGGATATGTCACACAGTTACACTAAGCTGCCACCAACCATTCCCTTTAAGAAGTCACACAGACCAGGGATGGATTTTTAAACAACAAAAGAATAAGGTTTATTTTAAATACAAACAGGGTAAATAAAACAATCAGGTGAATAAAATAACCTGGAATTGAACCCCAGGTCCTGAGCACAGTTTTGGCTGTGGTACAGCAGTTTAACCACTGTGCAGCGAGGCTCTAGCAGCGGTCCCCAACCTTTTCCCAACCGTTGACCAGTTGGGGGGAGTCTGTGTGCACAAGGGCATGGTGCACTCACGGGCATGTGTAGGGCACATGCTTGTGGGGGAGACAGGAGATCTGTGTCCGCGACCCGCTCCTGCCTAGGCCATGGACCGGTGCCAGGTTGCAGACCAGGGGTTGAGGACTTCTGATGTATAGGGTTCGATATTATCCATGGTTTTCAGCAAAGGTGTTTGGAACTGATTCCCTGCAGATACAGGTGTGCATCGTTACAGAATGCCTAGGACCATTATTTTCCTTTCCTGTGAACTTCCCACCCCACTTTATTTATTTCATTTATTAGAAAAATCCCTGAATGGTTAATGGCAGTGCAGTGTGAAATATCAATAAATGCAGTAAAAACAAGATAACAGAACAAATAAAGCAATGAAATATTTTGCTATAATCACTAAGGGTGGCTGGCTCTTTAAACAGGGCAGTGCAAACATTCTGCATATTTGGAGAGATCTACACTTTCTTTGCATGCAAGAAGTGTCAGGTTCCATTCCTGACACATATTTTTATTTATTTAATTAATTTCTGTGCCACCCACTCAAAGGTCTCTGGGCGGCTTACAACAATTAAAATTCAATTAAAATACAATAAAAGATAAAATGATTAAAATACAATTAAAATTGCCATCAGAACCCACAGTTGATGTTATTTCAATTAAAAGCCTTCTGGAACAGGAAGGTTTTGACCTGGCGCTGAAATGTCATCAACGTCAGCGCCAGACGAATTTCAGTTGGGAGGGCAAGCTGCCTAGAGTGGTCAATATGACCAGATAGGCGGGGTATAAATGGAATAAATAAATAAATATAAATTCCATAGTCTGGAGGCAGCTGCTGAAAAGGCCCTTTGTCTACAAGCCATCCCTCTTACCTGCTTGAGGGATGGCTCTTTCAAAAAATCTATCTGTAAAGGATATCTACAGAAACTGGGGAAGCCGTGCCCTTAGAGGACAATGCCTCATTAGGGTGGACAGTCCTCAGTACAAGAATACTGTATTTTTCCGTGTATAAGACTATACTTTTGTCTAAAATTTTTAGACTAAAAATTGAGGGTCATCTTATACACTGAAGTAAGCTGAGGAGAGTACAGAAACAAGCAGAGGGGACAGCAGGGATCAAATTGTTCCTGCAGGGCTTTGATCCCTGCTTCCCCCTCCACTTGCTAAGCCTTAGCAAAAGGAAAGCAGGGATCAAAGTGCTGCAGGGTCGCTTTGATCTCTGCTTTCCCCTCTGCTTGCTAAGTCCCATGGGGCTTAACAAAAGGAGGGGGGAAAGAATCAAAGCAATCCCGTGGCTGAATAAGGGGGGGAAAGGATCAAAATGATCCTCCAGTTGCGGGATTGCTTTGATCCCTTTCCTCCTCCTTTTGCTAAGCCCTGTGGGGCTTAGCACGAAGGGAGAAAGCAGGGATCAAAGCAGTCTTGCAGCACTTTGATCCCTTTTCCCCTACACTTGCTAAGTCCGACTTAGTTTTCTTAATTTGGGGTTAGAAAAGTGGGGGGGGCGTCTTATACATGGGGGCGTCTTATACAGGGAAAATACAGTAGCTTGAAATGTTCACTTGCATAATAATAATTTTAGAATTGCAGAGCTGGAAGGGACCTTGTGGATCATCCAGTCCAGCCCCTGTCAAGGAGGCACAAATGAACTCCCAACCTGTCACCTAAACCATTGAGGTATCCAGCAGTACATGAGGGAAAGGTATTTCTTCAATAGCATAAATAGCTTGCTTATTATTAAAGCATGAAGACTGCAAAAAAAAGATGAGCAAAAATAAACATTCCACGCTAATTTTTGCTCAGTAATATTTTGATTTGTTTTTCGCTTTCATTCCAGATGCTGGATGAAAATCATCATCTAATACAGTGTATTATGGACTATCAAAGCAAGGGGAAAACAGCAGAATGTACTCAGTGAGTAGGATATTTATGTGTGGTGAAATATATTACAGTTTCTGAACGTCTTCTGCCAAGTGTGACTGGCCATCGGACCAGGTCCTCACAGACCATGCATCTCCTGATATCAACACCTTGAGAGGTTCGGGAAAACAACAAGCAGAAGCTGGGCCTTCTCTGCGGTGCCACTTTCCTTGTGGAATGTGTTGCCAGAGGAGTTACACCAGACTCCCTCCCTCCATGCTTTTAAAAAACAACTGAACCCAGAAGACTTTTCAGGAAGCCTTGGGGGAGGTTCTCCTCAGTTGATTAAATGTGTGGAGGAGGAAAGTGGGATCCTCTTTGTCCCTTCACAGTTTCTTTCCACCTGTCTTTTTTTTAAATTGTATTTTAAAAAAGTATTTTTATGATTTATGCTTTACGTTGTTGTACACCACCCAGAGCAGCAATTTAATAGATGGGCGGCATAAAAATTAAATAAAGTAAATACATTTATGTTTATTTGCTAATTATCAGCAGATGAAAAGAACTCTGTCAGTGTTGAACTGCAAAGAATAACTAAGGCTTTTAAAAATGGCTGAATTTAAAGTTGACCTATTGAATAACTAAAGTAAATACAGTGGTGCCTCGCAAGACGATGTTAATCCGTTCCATGGAAATCGCTGTCTTGCGAAACCAAATTTCCCATAGGAATGCTTGGAAAATTAATTAATACGTTCCTAGGGGGAACATTTTTTTAAAAAAGGAACTTAAGGGGTAGGGAGCTGGGGAAACACCATGAAAGGCCTGGCTGCGATTGCCAGCTTTGGAGGTCCCCCGCCAGTCCTCTGATGGTGCATGAAAAGCCTCCGAAGTGCTCTGAAGCCAGCACGGGTGATTGAGGTCCCCCGCCAGTCCTCTGATGGTGCACGAAAAGCCTCCAACGTGCTCTGAACCCAGCACGGGTGATCGTAGAGCGAAAAGGCCCCATTGGAACCATCGTTTGGTTCCAATGGGGAACCCAAAATCCATCGTAAAGCGATTTCATCGTCAAGCGGGGTAACCGTCTAGTGAGGCACCACTGTACTGCAGCTAGAGTAGCCCATAGGATCAGCTGAATTTAGGAAGGCATTGACTCACCAAAGCTGCCCTAATTTGGTGGTGCTACTCTAGTTGTGACTTGCTACGCCAAGCGACAGGGTCCCCGTTATTGTCTCACAATATAGAATTAAAAAGTATTATGCCTGTTCCATAATATGCCAGCTACAACCTCTCCTAAATTAAAACTGTCATCACACAGGACTTTTCTTCTTTTTTTAAAAAAGAAACTTTTAATCCATAAAAATAAATCTGATTAAAAATTTAAGAATATAATTTAAACTTTTAAAAAATGGTTTAAAAACATTCATTTTTTATCTACCCTGATAATGAACTTGACTAGAAATCTAGGTTTAGAAGGATCGCTTGGAAACCTCAAGAGTTGCTCCTGAGAGTGTAGATGTTCCTGAACGGGAGGGCTAAAATTGGGGGAGATTAGGTAAAAGCAGCCTCTTGTTGTAGCACCATTAAAGGTTGTAGTCTGCTTTTGCTCCTTTTTCCAAGAAAGCAGAGAATAAAAATACAAAAAGATAGACTGGAGCAATTTAATTCAGAATAGGAGAGGCTATTTCTGGACAAACAAGTACAAGAGAGGGAGAACAATATATACTAGTAGGCATCAGGGATGGGGTGTGTTCAGACATGAGTCTGTGTTTGAAGACAGAGATGTGCCAGATGACCGTCTGTTTTCATCTGTGAAATACTCAGAACAGGAGAATGACATTGCAGGAGAAAGACTATACAGTACTACAAATATGTTCATATGAGTGCCATTGTTTCTTGCTATAGAAAAACAGGAGACTGGTAAATCTGGTTCCTGTTTCTGCACAGGGAGCTAGTATGTTATACTGAATAAAGTGATGGACTAGGACACAGGAGACCTGGGTTCAAATCCCCACTCAGCCATGGGAATTCAATTGGTGGGTTGGAGGCACTACTAAAACCATTCTTTAACTATTTCACATATCTTGAAAACCCTGTTAGCATTGCTATTGAGTTAGATGTGACTTGATGGTATGTAACAACAACTTCTGCATGACACATCAAAGGATCTTGTTGAATTTGCGAAGCAAGACATATTAGACTTGATGATTACAGTCACTCCAAAGAACTGAGGAGGGGAGAACCCTACTCTTCTAAAAGGAAAAAAAATACTTCCAACATGGTTTATTTTTGTCACATCCAAATTATATATTTCTTTTGGTTATAGGTATCAACAAATCTTGCACAGAAATCTGGTTTACTTAGCAACGATAGCAGACTCAAACCAAAATATGCAGTCCCTGCTTCCTGCTGTAAGTACTTGCATGAACAACAAAATCTAGTTCATTTAGAATTGGTGGCTGAGATTTACTGAGAAGCTGGTTACTCTAAGTGAAATCTTTTGATGGATTCTTCATACAAGAAAATTAGCAATGCTGAGAACAAAACGGCCAATATTGGCTGGCCTGGGGATAATTTTCTATTGCATATCATCTAGGATCAATAAGACGGGCATAACAAGTAATTTATTGTCTTCAAAATATATTTGGTAAAATACTTATTAAAATTCGGTACAATACATAAACAATCTCTGTATTGTTTAATATTGTTTAATTCTGTGGTGTTTGAATAATAATAGTATTTTTCCCCTGTACATTTGCGGAATTACTTTACTGCCTACTTCTTGGGAAACTTAATTCTCTCACAGTACAGTTCCCAGAATCTGCATGACATACTGTGTACTGAAGTCCAAAAAGCTGACTTTTCAGAGCAGGTTGAATTTGGCCATGTGAAAATGTTGTATCTATTCCTGTGAAGATACAGGAAAAATCCCATTTTGACTTTATCAGCACACAAAAGCCACGCACACGGTCTAGTAGTCTGACTGATTTGGTATACGGCAGTTTCTTGTTAGGCTTTCCAGCGTATTGCTGTTTCTTTTCATTAGAAGTTATTTGATCAAAAGGATGATACGCTTGAGATCATTAGTTCAGAAGAAGGCAGGATATTTCTGTATAAAAAAGTATAGCAGAGGGAGAGGCCCTTCTCTTGGATGCACATCTTAACGTGACAGAGGTTTTAAATGTGTCAGGGAAACCAAGGGTAATATCTTGAGGGGGCTAGACTTTATTACGAGTCTGGACTCCTAGTGGGGTCACCCAGGCCAGAATGGTCAGAGGTAAGACACCAGACTAAAATGGATCCTCTTTAGGATTAACCATCACATCAGTGATGTGAGAATTGTGGTGCTGGAGGAGACTCTTGAGAGTCCCCTGGACTGCAGAGAGAACAAACCTATCCATTTTGAGGGAAATCAACCCTAAGTGCTCACTGGAAGGACAGATCCTGAAGCTGAGGCTCCAATACTTTGGCCATCTCATGAGAAGAGAAGACTCCCTGGAAAAGACCCTGGTGTTGGGAAAGTGTGAAGCGAAGAGGAGAAGGGGACGATGGAGGACGAGATGGTTGGACAGGGTCACCAAAGCGACCAACATGAATTTGACCAAACTCAAAGGTAGCCTTTGGGGGGGGGTAGAAGACAGGAGGGACTGGCGTGCTCTGGTCCATGGGGTCACGAAGAGTCGGACACGACTTGACAGCTGAACAACAACAAATCACATAAGTGGGTGAGAATGGATAGTTCCAATTGTGATGGGATAGAGAAACTTCTGGATGGCAGGTACTTGGAGGCAGCAGTAGTTGAAGGTGACACCCACGACTTAACAACTGAACAACAACAAATCACACATGTGGATGAGAATGGATAGTTCCAATTGTGATATGATAGAGAAACTTCTGGATGGCAGGTACTGGGCGGCCGCAGTAGTTGAAGGTGACACAGGCAGACGCTGAAGTTGCACTCAAACTAATTCTGGAAGAAGGTGGCAATGGTAAACAACTTCTGCATATTTCATGCTTTCAAAACCTTATGATGAGACAATCCAAAATGAAACAAGAAATAGTGCTGAAAGACGAAATTACAAGGTCAGAAGACAGTTAATCAGATCCAGGGAAGAGCTGAGGATAATTGTGGTGGGCCTAATGAAGCAACTGAATAAAGCTGCATGGCCAAGCTCCAACTTTCTTTCTGTTGTTAATATACCAAAAAATGAAGCTGTTGTGCAGTTTCCCCTAGAAGCTTTAGTTCTTTGGGAGGCACCCTTTAGAGAGCCTAAAGGGCAGCAACACTGTGACTTCCAGAGTCACCACTACAGCAGCTTCATTAGTGGTACGTCCACAACAGAAAGCAAGGCAGAGCTAGGCCTTGGTCAAGGTGAGCAAAAGGTAGATGTCTAGGTGTGGGTTTGTCAGCTGGAAGTTCCAGAATTCTGACTGAGGCATTCTTGAAGATTTCTGGGAGTTGGAGTCTAAAAAATCAGAATGGCACATTCCAGGTAGTTGCTGCTCTGCAGAGGATGATACATTTGGTTTACAAATAGCATCACGGCAGGATGCTGATTTTTCAAGGCAAGGCAAGTTCGTATTAAAATATTTACCTAGTGTATCCCTTTTTTTGCATTTAAAAACCAAATATTATCTAAAGCATTGTTCTGGCGGTGTTCCCATCTACGAGCAGTAATGGTAGGATCAGTGTGTGTGTCTTCTAATTGACTCACTGCTAATTGAAATAAATTCAAAAGAGCAGAGCTGCCATTGTAGAACATGTTACTGTTTCTTCTTTTCTCATTAGTTCATCTTCCCACATGTTAATGTTTCATAACTATGTGTGTCGTTGTAATGCAGAATGTCTAGGTATCTCCTTTGCTTAACAAAATGCAAGTCTGGATTCCTCCTGGCTTGCTTCGATGAATGAGCCAATTATACATAATATTTCCATAGCCATTGATTTGCCTATGATTGCAAATCCTGATTCATGAAATGACTCAGTATTAAATCATAATAATGGCAGGAGTTCTGCTGGGCCAAACAGCCAAAATGATGCCCTCTTAAGAAACCCCTCTCACTGAATCTTTCTTTTCCTTGTTATCTTGTCTGCAGCCACCGACACAAAATATGTCCCTAGGCCCGGGAGGAATGAATCAGAGTGCATCCAACCAGTCTCTCCATCCACAGAGCAACCTCAGTGATGCAATCGGGACAGGCCTTCCGCCTTCCTCCCTCATGCAGAGTCAGATTAGCAACGGTGAGCTTTCCATGGTTGCCTGGCAACCGCATCCTGTGAATGCCTGGATGTGCTTCCATAGCGGCCTTTTATGGCTGTTTAACTGGCCTCTTGGGCATGTTGAAAGCCTCAGCGCAGGCTTAAATATGCACAAATCACTTTGCATTTCAGAAGGTTGCTGCTCGTACTTTGCCAAAGTGGGCTTCTTGAAGAAAGCGCTGATAATACAAAAACTGAGACTGGTTCTGTTCAGATCATTAGCCCTACTGAGCACTGATTTCAGCAGCTTGCAGAATGCAGACGAGCGCAGGATGCCAGCATGAACATTCTTGCTTTGCAATCTTATAGGGTACAGTTTCCCACCCTGGGGGGTCACGGCCACCCAAGGGGGATGTAAAGTGTTTTTTGGGGGTCATTGTGGCTATTTTTAGTTTCAATTACACAATGCTGTTTTATTTTAATCCTCTTGGCCTGTAGAGGCAACCTAGAGTTCTTAGTTATTTCTGTACCCCTTTAGGTGGATTTCCCCTTTTTTTGCATGCGCCTCATGCCTACCCCCTTCGAAAAAGCCGATCTCTCTGCTCTGCCACATCCTTCTTTGGAGGACTGATGTCAGCCCTTCAGACCCAAGGGTTAACTCAGCTCCAAGAGGCCGGAATAAGGCAAGCACGCAGTGCATGTCAGGGATGCCGATACCCAAAATGGCGGCAGGATTGAGATGTGGTTCCTAGGGATGTGGTTTCACCTGGAATTCCAGGAATCCTTTACCATTAGCCCTGCTGGCTTGGACATCTCGCTCTGCCTTTCACTCCGCCCGGGTGCAGTGATGGTGGCACAGTGAAGGGAATGGGAACCTGGGTGGGGAGATGCCTTTGGGCCACTCCAGAGTTTTGGAGGAGGAAGCTAAGAGGGGCAAAAAGGTGAGAGAGGAGAAGAGCAGCACAGAGGCTTCTGCGGTTTAACCCACAGCGCCACCACGTCCCCTCGAATAACAAACTTAGATAAGCTGAAAGGCTAAAACCCAGGGACTTAGTCATGGATATGAAAAGCCTGTGTGAAGAGCTGGGTCTTCAACTGGCGGTTGAAGGATAAAAGGGAAGGGGGCTAACTCTGGTTTCCTTCTTTGCTCTCTGCTTAGGACCCAATCATGTATCTATGCAGCAGTCAGGCCAGAACACCATGCCCACCACTTCCCTCAGCATGACGGTCAGTAGCCATGGAACAGGATCCGGCTACAGCCATACAGTGCCTGCATCACAGAATGTGCCCTTGCAAGGCCAGGGAACAATCGGCAACTATGTCTCACGGACAAATATCAACATGCAGTCTAATCCAGGTATGGCTGGCTTGGCCTGGCCTTTTTGTTATTCTTGAGTAAACCCATTCTTGTACAAAGCAGTGGTTAACAACCCACATGTGGTTTGACCTGGAATTCCAGGAATTCTTTACCGTTAGCCCTACTGGCTAGGACATCTGGTAGATGATGTCCAAGATCGTCTTGGGATCCAGGTTGAGAACCACTGGTATAAAATGTCAGAGCCAGTGTGTGTTGCAGGATGAGGGCTGGGGAGAGAGACTGTAGATTTAGATTCAGAATAGGACTATTGAAGAAATCTTATATAGCTTTGAGGCTTGCTTACGTTTGTCCTATATTACTTATTTAGTTAGCAGAAATGTCTCTTTTCAAACAAGAGAGCCACTCACTGCTCCCGAGAGCTTTACAGTAGTTAAAAAAATAATAATAATAAGGGGAAAGAACATGGGAGAAACACAGCATTTTGAAGATTGATCGCTGTAAGACATGGTGAACTTTTTATTTCTTAGACTTCATTGTGAGGCTTCAGTTTTTCTCAGGGTTTGTCATTCAGAGAATTTGAAGATATCTGTATGTTACAGTCTCCATGATGCACCAGCAAGCAGCAACGTCGCATTACAATTCTGCACAAGCGGGGACTCAGCACTACCAAGGGCAGTCGTCCATTGCCATGATGAGTCAGAGTAACCAAGGCAACAGCATGATGGGGCAACGGCCAATGGGCCCGTACCGGCCTTCCCAGCAAGGTAATTTTTTTAAATGGTGAGCAGCATTATAGATGTCTCAGTGCCATTGTTATTATGGAGATGTGTGCTTGGATGTAGTCTGTGGGTATTGAGTAGTGGAATTCAGCTTAGCTTCATACGCGCTTAGCTTTTAATTCTTTGGCATCTTCTATTCTCTCTCTCTCCTGCCCACTTCTTGCCACGGCAGTCCTGACTTACTATGTTATAGCTCCAAAATACAAAGCAGCAGGCAGGGAGTTACTTGGTAAAAGTAAAGGTTCCCCTTGACATTTAGTCCAGTCGTGTCCGACTCTGAGGCACAGCGCTCATATCCATTTCCAAACTGTAGAGCCAGCGTTTGTCCAAAGACCGTTTCTGTGGTCACGTGGCCAGTGCGACTAGACATGGAACGCCGTTACCTTCCCACCGTGGTGGTCCCTATTTATCTACTCGCATTTTTACATGCTTTTGAACTGCTAGGTTGGCAGGAGCTGGGCCAAGCGACGGGAGCTCACTCCGTCGTGTGGATTCGATCTTACGACTGCTGGTCTTCTGACCTTGCAGCACAGAGGCTTCTGTGGTTTAACCCGCAGCGCCATCACGTTCCTCAGGTAGTTACTTAGCAGCTACCAATTTTCCCATCCTGGAATACGCACAGTGACTTGTAGAACAGCCTTTTGTAAATTGTTGTGGTGGAATTATCTGAAAGCAGGACTCTTCTGTGCTTTTTTAAAAAGTAGTTTACACTTGGAATATAATTCTCAGGAGAATCTACTCTTAAATCGAATTCATGCAGCAGTTGGCTAGGAAGTATGAACTGGATGCTTCTTGCCTTAGGCAGAATGATGTTGTTTAAAAAGCTGTTACTGTCCCTACGGATGCCTACCTGCTGTTCTAAATTCAACAGATATGAAGGCATAGCATGTTTACAGTGATCCTTGATCAAAAAGGAAAATAAATTCTTGCAACACAAGAATGTGTCTGGAGTTTCTCACTGCTCATAGTGAAGTGAGGAGAGCTAATTGCAATATGAAGCTGTCTCTCTGTCTGTATAATACTTCTGGAGTCAGCTGGCAGTCATTCCATAGCCTTGCCTTTTTTCTATTTCACACTATCTTTGATACTACTAGAGGTCATATATATCTGTCATCATATTCAGGAGCCATGAGTAACCTTGTTTTCCCTGTTCATTACATTTTTAAATACACCAAAGTAGTCTGCCATCACTGCTTCTAATGGAAAGCAATTGTATGATTTAATTGAGCACTATGTGAACAAAGGAACATAGGAAGTGGCCATTGGTCTGTCTAGCTCTATACAGTCAAATTTGATTGGCAACAATCGAGGTAAGATCCTTTCCTGGCCCTTCCTAAAGATCCTTGGTATTAACCAGTGATCACCCATCTAAGCAGTAACCAGTCTCAACTCTCCTTAATTTCCAAAATCACAAGTGTTATCAGGGTATAGTGGTGAAGAAAAACAGTACTTCCATTTTGTCTGTCCTGGATTTACACCAAACTTTTCTCAGTATGGAACCAGCACTTGGAAAATTCACCTTTAAAAACTCCATCCTTAGAATCCTCTTCCAGTGGTTACCAACTTTGGGTAACCCAGGTGTTCTTGGACTGCAACTCCCAAAAACCTCAGCCAACACAGCTGGTGGTGAAGACTTCTGGGAATTGCAGTCTAAGAACACGTGGGTTACCCAAGGTTGGAAAACACTGCTCTAGCCAGCATGGTCTGTGTTCTGTGTGTCTACAAGTAGGGAAGATGGCGAATAAGTTGGCTGTAAGAGGCTCTTTCATCTCACTTGGACGTCACTGTAGACTGACTAAGATACTTTTCTTTCTGTTTTGTAGGTTCTTCTCAGCAGTACATGGGCCAGGAAGAATACTACAGTGAACAGTACAGTCATGGGCAAGGGTCATCAGAGCCCATAAACCAGCAATATTATCCTGATGGTAATTCTGCACCACACTTGGGTAACTTGTTTGCACACGCTGTTGAACCGCAGGAAGCTTCTGGCACTTACGACAGAATTAGCAAAAAGCAAAGGCCCAATCTTTACACACAGATAGTCCTGAAAACCAGACACATTTAGTTCAGTGTGGGTTTCTTTTTAGCACATTGAAAACTCAAGATCACAGTTATCAGGGATCAAGCTGTGGTGATGGTGGGGGACACAGGACACATAGCTGGATGAGGGAGAAGATTTTGTTAAGTTTTTGGTGAGCTGAGGAAGAGAAGTAGCTTTGGCTATGAAGGCACAAAGCAAGTATCCAGAATGGAGCAAGTAAATGATATTCACATAATATCACATAATTTCAAGAAAGAAATGATGGCCATCAATGCGTGTACCTGCTTCAAAGATATGTATATAAAGGAATTATTAGACACCATAATTGGCATTTCAGTGTGACACACCAGTTTAGTCTGAAGTCCAGATCACAGCATTCCATTGTTTCATCAAGATATACCCTTTGTAAATGTTTTTCTGAAAGCATAAATAGAAAGTTGCTTGGATGTAGAGAGCCGGGGTGATCAGGCAGGGAAAAGAGAGGCTTCCAATCCTCTGCTAGGGTCCCAGTCCAAATGCTTCTCCCGCACTTGCCTTTTTGTTTAAACATGCACATGGAAACAATTACGAAATGTGTAAATAGTATTAGATGTTTTATGGCCATCACAGTTACTAACCAAACAGAAAGGAGAAGTGAAACAGGCTGATTCAGAGATGAAAGGCTTAGATGGAGAGAAACGGCTGACCAGTGACTTAAAATTTTGCTTTATAAAAGCTGAGCTAGGTCCATGTGAAGAACTCTTGGCTGCTGGTGGAAACAGAAGCTGCACCGTTTCACTGCCGGCATCCGTGCTGTGAGAACAGATCATATGATATCATTACACCGAGCATTTCCCCACCTTTTCCATGTGGCATCCAGTGAAACAGAAAAGAATTAGGGGCAACTCTCACATAAGGGTCCATACATTTTGTGATAGCTAGTGTAACTGAGGGAAGTAGAGGGCCGGCATAGGATTGTGATGTTCACATCAGCCGCACATTGTTTACTTCAGGTCCTTGCTGTATTCAAATGAGCCATGTGTTTCACGCCAGGCTGGTCAGGAAGTTATTGCTGATAACAGCTCCTTGGCTTGATTCTGCGGATTTCTCATATTATCCATTATCCTAACACCAAAGCAGTACCAGTTTCAGGATTTCCCCAGTGTGGTCAGGGCTTCCATTCATGTGGGCAGAATTCCTCGTGATCATTTGGTATGTCATGCTGCTGAGGGATGGATTAAGGCAAGGCAAGGAGATGAAGCAATGATGGAAGTTGGATAGAAGTCAAATAAATAAGCAAATACATCCTTTATCCAGGATGTGTGTAAGCAGAAACTGCTTTTCAACAGATTGGTAAAAATTTGCAATTCAGAAAAATCAGAATTTGAAACTAGTACCTTTTCTTTCAGGTACTGAGGTAAAAATCTTTTTATCAACATGTCCAGTTCATGTTTAGTTTATGTTTGTTATGTTCACCCTTGAGTTTGCATCCAGTGGAGTTAATATTTTTTTAATTATTCTTCAAGGGAGGGTTGCAGTTTCATAAAGAAGGGCTAAGGACCTTTAATAGATGTCTTCATATCTCTTTCACTTTCATTGTTTTAGTTCTCCATTTCTGATGTATCTTTGTCTCCCCTCATCCTTTTGGCTATTTGAGTATAGGTCACAGTGATTACGCCTACCAGCAATCATCTTACTCTGAACAAAGTTATGACAGATCGTTTGAGGATTCCACACAGCACTACTATGAAGGCGGTAAGGAGAAACATTGTGGAAGCTTTGCTTGCAGACTGTATCACACTGGGTGCGTATGTACGCATATGTGACTGTGCATGTACGTGTACACACGCTTCCACTCTTGCATGCAATGTTTTAAGCAGAGTGAATAGTCAAAGACCCAAGATCTGAGGAAATGGACTTGTTGATGAAGGCTCACCTGGAAATATAGCAGTTAGTCCTTAAAGTGCCACAATGTTTTTGCTTTCTTTGTTTTATTTTTCTTTGGCTTGGCCCGATTCTTTGTTTTATTTTTCTTTGGCTTGGCCTGATAAACATAATTATTTATACTGATATTTTGTCAAATAAATGCAAGCTACAGTCTGTGCGTCTTATGGAGCGAAGAAAACAGATTATATTTCCTGTTTTCTTCTCCTAAAAAATTGGTGCGTCTTATGGAGCGAAAAACGGTAATTATTTATACTGATATTTTCTCAAATAAATTCAAGCTACATTTATTTATTTATTATTTATTTATTTATTTGATTTGTATCCCGCTCATCTGGTAGCTCGGTACCACTCTGGGAGCCAGAGTCAAATGAGAGTCTAGCAGATCAGGAAAAAGGGCTGAACCATAATAATCGGTGTCGCAGGAAGTGTCGCAGGAAATCCACCCCCTTCCATGATCTGAAATATACAGCATACCAAGTGATACATTCTACAAGATTACTCTTGTCTGTTTCAGCTCTTTATCTGTATCCCACAAAAGAGCTTGGGAAAGTATTGTTTTGGGGCTACAACCTCCAGAATGGTGCAGCCAACATGGCCAATAGGCCAAAAAACCTCAAAATATGGGCATGTTTACACATCTTTTTAAAATATTTTTTAATTCTACCCTGAGAAAACATCATAGCATAGTTACCCCACTCCCTATAAAGCACATCATTAGTAGCATGCAGGAAAAAGAATGAAATACAGGCCTCGAAGAATCAAACTATCAACAAAATAAGAATGTGGAGAGCAGAAAATTAAACACCAATTACGGTGGTGCCTCGCTTTACAATCGCTCCGTTTAACGACGAAATTGCATTACGACGAACTTTTTGAGATCGCTTTTGCGATCACTTTAAGATGTTTCCGATGAGGGAATTTCACTTTGCGATCATCGGTTCCCTGCTTCGGGAACCGATTCTTTGCAAAACGATTTTCGGACAGCTGATCGGCAGTTTCAAAATGGCCGCCGGGTAAACAAAATGCCCCCCTGCTGTTTACTGGGATGGATTCCTCGCTGCACAGGCAGCGAAAATGGCCGCCCTATGGAGGATCTTCACTGGACAATGAGTTTCCAGCCCATCGGAATGCATTAAACAGGTTTTAATGCGTTTCTATGGGCTTTTTAATTTCGCTTTACGACGTTTTTGTTCTACAGCAATTTCGCTGGAACGAATTAACGTAATGCGAGGCACCACTGTATCTTATTCGTTTGTAACAGTTATTGCAAAATATCTTTTGCTCTTGATCCCAAAAGCTCTTGAAAGGCTTGAGAGTTATCTGGCATAGAACAGACCATAGAGTCAGTTCCAAGTAGTCCTGTCTGGGAAGGGGGCTGGACAGCTGGGGATACCACCAGTGAATGTAGTAGCTGCTTCCCAAACCTTTATTAGCAGGTGCAACCTGTGCATGAGCTCTGGAGATGGTTTTACAGTTCTGGTAGGTAAATACGGATAAAAGCAGTCCTTCAGGTAGCCTGGTTCCAAGTTGCATAACTTGAAGTCAGCTGTTTCTGTTGGAAACTTACTAGTAAGGGGGCCTAGGTGAAAAAACACTCATATGCTAAGACTAAAACTGCCAGTCCTATTCAAAAGTCATGCTACCGATTGATATTGATTGATTGATTGATTGATTGGATTTGTATACCATCCATTTGGCTACCAATGCCACTCTGGGCAGTTCGCAGCAAAATAGACAACAGTAACACCTTAAATAATAACCACAAAAACATAATAATACAGAAAATGAAATAGACATATCAATTAAGCTAAAAAAGGCAACTTAAATAAACTTTCCTGAAGTTTATTTTCGAAGGCAGTTAAAAGCATCCAACGACTTATAGGAATCTAAACAGGAAGTTACCAAAGCATGGTGTGAACTTGACCCTATGTGGATCTAGGATTCTGGCTAAGCTAGGAAACAAACCTACTGACTTTTCTCTTTTTAGGAAATTCCCAGTATAGCCAGCAGCAGGCGGGATATCAACAAGGAGCTGCACAACAGCAAACATATTCACAGCAGCAATACCCAAATCAACAAAGTTATCCAGGACAACAACAAGGATATGGTGAGGAAATCTGTACGGTTGTCTTGTGTAAAGTATGCATGACTCTGCACACAACCAATTCAAATTGGATCCGCTTGCGGGAGACTTAAACCTCTTCCTTGCTAGTTTTTTTTTATTTCAGAATCCCCATCTTGTCATGCAGAGGGTATTTAAAAAGAGAGGAAAAATTAATACAAGGGTGCATTGCTCTGGAATCCATAGGCAGGAGGGGATTTTGAAACTAAGACCAAGTAGATATAACGTTTAAACCTTCTCAGGTTCCTTTGTTTGACAATAAAAATACTGTAATGATCTTAAATTGTATGTAAGTATTTAATGTGGTGCCTTATTTAACCCCTTGCACCCCTAGGTTGACATAATGCATATGTTATTTTAAAGGTTGGAGAGAGATTTTAGATCACCAAAGACCTTCAAGCTCCCTTTCTTAAGCCCCTGACCACCCATTGGTTGTTCATTAGAGAGGAGTCCTAAGGATATGATATATTCATCTTTCAAACCTGGACCAAGGATTTTACTGTTTTCTTCCCAGGTCCTGCCCAGGGAGCTTCATCACAATACTCAAGTTACCAACAGGGACAGGGACAACAGTATGGAAGTTACAGAGCTTCACAAACAGGACCATCCGCACAGCAACAGAGGCCTTATGGCTACGAGCAGGTAAATTAAGGAGGGAGAAAGGCCTTCTTTTCAAAAGCTATATTGTGCAGGGTAGTTTCCCCAGTAAATCTCCTCTCATGGGCATTGGCTGCATGGCCACCCCAGGACAACAAGCTTTGCATTTACGAGGTGAGAGTACATTAGTTCCCCCAGCGAGGCAGATCCCTGAGACCTAAATGCCTGAGCGATCAAACTTGCTAGTTAAGCTTGTGTTTAACCCCAAACACCCAACCACGAAACAAAGGACGCTGGGATGGGGAGGAGAGAAAAGCTTGTGGCATGATGAACAGGACCCCTTTTCAAAACTTACAGAAGTCCTGCTTCCAACAGTGTGTTGCCTGTGTTATCTTGTTCCTTCCCCAGGAATGTTGAGGGGTGTGGGTGGAACGGGAACCAGGTTTTTCTTGGTAGTAGAAAAAGGGACCCAAAATCTGGCTTTGGTTCCAGTTACTGCAGATTTGCTTTTATAGTCATGCATGCTCTGCAGGTATCAACTAACCTTACCTGATGTGTCTTCTACAGTAGGTAAGACCAAATCCAAAGGCAAAGTCCAAAGGCAGTCCAGGGTCAAACTGATGAGAGTTCAGTATTAAGGCAAGAGGATCAGGAAGACTGTAACTCAGCAAAGACATTGATCCAGCAACTTTGCCTGTCTAAGACCGACGCTTGTAAGCCTGAGCTTCTAGAGCAGTGATGGCTAAGACCGACGCTTGTAAGCCTGAGCTTCAACCTTTATGAGCCCGAGTGCCCAAACACAAAATCAACTTATTTATTTCAAAGTGCCAATACTGCAATTAAAACCCGAATGCTGAGGTTTTAGTTTAGAAAAAAACATCCACTCTTGCACTGCAAGGGTTAAGTGCTTATTTGTTTGTTTTTTTCCTATGGACGAGATAAACAAATATTTACCAGTCCTCCAATAAATGCTTGTTTGTTTGTTTTTTCCTATGGTTGAGATAAACAAAGAAATATTTACCAGTCCTCCAACCCCCATTGGGCTAGACCAGTAATGGTCGCCATTACACCCCTTTGCTGGACCACTGCACCAGCAGAGGGAAGTACCAAAATCTGGGATCAGAGGGCAGGTAAGTATTTCTCTATGGCAACTTATGGCTCGTGTGCCCACAGAGAGGGCTCTGTGTGCCAGCTGTGGCACGCGTGCCATAGGTTCGCCAACACTATTCTAGAGCCTCATTCAGAGGTTTGGTTCTTTAAGAGAGCATTGCTCACATGAATCCTTCTACTCATCAAGAAACCTGCTGTGCAAGCAGGTACTCTTTCTTAGAGCCACTAGCCTAGCCTGTCGAGACACAGTGGGCCCACTTCTCCCTCTGAGTTCTCACCTTTTGTGGAAGAGGGTGGAATTTGGAGCCTTCTCCTCAATGGCCCTTGATCTTCTAGGGCAGTGGTTCTTAACCTTGGGTTGCTCAGGTGTTTTTGAACTGCAACTCCCAGAAACCTCAGCCAGCACAGCTAGTGGTGAAGGCTTCCGGGAGTTGCAGTCCAAAAACACCGGAGTAACCCAAGGTTAAGAACCATTGTTCTAGGGCAATCTGCTGGTCTCTTCCCCACATGTGCTCTACTCTAATTTGGTTCACAAAGCTCTAGATTGTCTTCCGAAATTCCCCCCCCCTCCATATTGGCATGATACACATGGACAATTCTGACAAGAGAATTTTTCACACATTGCCCAATTACAGATGAAAGCTAACTGCTGTTCTAGGTGGGAGATGGTTTGCAACTACCACACACTTGCTTTATCCCAAAATATTTGTTTTCAAGGCAAAGAATGTGGATCAACATCACTTCCATTGTATTGGCAGCCCAGTCCTACGTTGTTTAATCTTTTTTGTTCAATAGAAATGATGAAGAATCTTGTCGCAATTTAAAGATTAAAAGGTTTCATTTGGTTTCTCTGGAATTTACTCCCACCTTACCGTTCCTTGCAATCCCTGTGGAGGAAGCAGGACTCTTAAAGCTAGTTTACAGAAAAAACCCTGTCATAAAAACATTGCACTCTTACATCTACAGAAATGGCTGCATGACTTTTTCTTTCTCTGTCATTGTTAACAGGGCCAGTATGGAAACTATCAGCAATAAAAGGACAAGCATCTGTGTCAGATTTGTTTTGATATATATGTCCGTCTTCTGACCCTGGATGTGCGGGCAGTTTTTGATTACTTGTAATACGTTGGTTATCCTTTTAGCACAAAAGGAGCATCTGTACGTGAAACAGTATTCATTTCATGCTGGATATGAAGCAGTGCTCTACTGGTAACAAGGCAATGCTTTAATGGTTTGGTATATTTTGGTGCTGTGTATAGTATTGTATGTTGATACAATGCAGAAGTTCTTCCTTCTCCTTCCCCTGTCCCGTTTTGATGTTTTCAACTAGCTTTAGAGGTCATTTCATCAATGGAATTAGATGCGTTCACACACACGTTCCCTATTTTCTTTTCAAAAACTACAATATACGTCAGATGTGCAACTGAGTTGGTCCTTGTTCTTTGGTCATGCTGGTAGTTCAACAATGGTTTCTAATGTAAAATTCTAACCCAAATACATTACAGATTATTTTATATGCTCTGAAATGCATAGATTTTAATTGGACCATGACCAAAATAGGCTCCGTTTTTTAATATATAATTTATTTGTATTCTAAATCACACATGCTTAAAATATATGAATATATGTTTGATTTGCTGACTCCCTTCAAGATGCAGCAGTAATTTTGTACAGTGAATCTAGGATTTTCTGTGGAATTTACTCCCATGTAAATGTGCTACATACCTTTCTGCCAGTTATTTATTGTTGCGGTTTTTGCTGAATTAACATGGGAATTGACCCTGTTATGGTAAGATTCCCATAATAGGTCAATACCAAAGAAGCATTCAGCCATGGAAACATGGGAACTTCTTCTAAACTGCTGGAGGGTATTCCATTTCAGTTGTCTGGAAATGTGACGAATTCGGTTAGGATGTGAATAAGAAATATTGAAGCTGGTTAACTGGAAATACTAATTCTTTTTTTGTTCTCTGATCAGAAAGTCCTCTTCCCAAGAGCACATATATAGGAGTTATATTTTGTATTTTAGGATATGTTTATTCAAATTGTTGTGGGTTTCAGCCATGTACTTTAAAGAAAGAGTATTTGGAGAAGTCGGCCTGACAAGCCCCACTAATATTATATTGGATATTGCAAGTCAGGATCTTTTTTTTTTCTCAATCAACTTTCTTCCTTCAAGTTGTAAGTAAGATAACACACACACCATCCTGCCCCATTATTAATTTACCACAGAGTAGAGCATTCCTGCATTGCCCACAGCCACAGTAGTTCCAATGTTCGGGAGGGGGGGGGAAGTCATTTTGCTTTAGCATAAAAGAAAGTTATTGCAAATGCAGATATACAGTCTAATGTCCATGCATAAACAATTCCAGATTTATATTTTGAGGCATATGTGCTTAAGACTGCAGTCTTTAAAGACCTACAGTACTGTCTTCCAGTGCAAACATTTATACCATTTATAGCAAAATGAACAGGGGAAATAATTTAAGCCTTCATAATAGAATCCAGCTAAACCAATGTTGTTTGAAATCCCAATGGGTGCATCTGAAGTGTGTGGAATGCATCCTTGAAATCAGCAGGACTGACTTGAAGGACATAACTATAGATAGAACTGCCTCCTCCGTCTGCTCGAATAAAACCTGCTACTTTGGAAACTCTTCATCTGTTTTACCTGGGCTATGGATAAAACAAACACTAGTATTCAGTCTGTCAGAAGTCAGTATCATTTCATATCCCACTCACAAAATCAATATTAGCTGGAATTACAACCTAGTCTGCTACAGAATAATTACAGAGTGCAGACTAATGAATGTGTGAGTTTCCTAACCACCTAATGAGTTGCCTTTTTGTTTTTCAAGATTTTCCAGCAACTAGTACCCTGTTTCCCTGAAAATAAGCCCTAACCTGAAAATAAGCCCTAGTATGGTTTCTCAGGATGCTCATATTATAAGCCCTACTCCAAAAATAAGCCCTAGTTAAAAACCTAGTTGAAGCCCCATCCTCCACCATTGTGCAGCAACCAGAAGATGACATGACTGTAAAATAAAACATCCCCTGAAAATAAGCCCTAATGTGTTTTTTGGAGCAAAAATTAATATATGACCCTGTCTTATTTTCGGGAATACACGGTATAATTAGAACTAAACAAAAATAGGTTGCAGACCTCTGCTCCGATAGTTTCTTCCTTGCTATTTTGGCTCAGATAGTTCAACAAAATTTCAAAAATTCTAAGACTGTGGACAGTTTGTTACAGTGGCGGCTAAACTTTATGGGCCCAAGTGCCCAAACTGAAAAAAAGACAAAAAAACAGTGGGCGGTGTGCCGCTTTTGGGCCCAAGTGCCCAAACTGAAAAAAAGGAGAAAAAAACAGTGGGCAGTGTGCCGCTGTGGTGGCGGAACTGGAAGTGGCAGTGGAGGGGGGGAATCCCGGGTATGGAGATGCCTCGAGACCCCACTCTGGCTCCATTGCCAGTGCCAGCTACTTGGGTATGGAGATGCCTCGAGACCCCACTCTAGCTCCACTGCCAGTGCCAGCTACTCCGGATCCTGGCCTGCCGCCTGTTGAAGCACCAGCACCCTGACTACAGCCACCTCCTGAAAATTGGCTGTGGGGGATAAGGGAGTAAGCGATCTGGCAACTTATGGCTTGTGTGCCTGCAGAAAGGGCTCTGTGTGCCAGCTGTGGCACGCGTGCCATGGGTCTGCCATCACTGGTTTATTATATACAACAGACTGGACTCCACCTCCAAGAAATCCGTGGAAGGCCAGGAAGTGCAGACATTGTATTTTAGATGCATCTGTGCTATGGGGAGAAAAGCAGCATATACTGTATATAATATAAATACGTTAAAAATAAGTAGAAGTGCACTGAGCTTTTGGTGCAGCTTGCCTTCCTGTGTGAATGCACACGGGGCTGTTGCCATAGGGACGGAAGGAAGGAAGGAAGTGCCTCTGCTGTCTCCACCTCTGCAAGGCCCTTCACAATTCTTTCTTAGCCTTGTTCATCTGTAACCAAGCGGATCCTACACCTCTACTGGAGAGCTGTCTGCATCTGAGCCAATACATGGCTGGTGACTGGGACTGCCACTTTCGGAAGGCCATACAGCTCTGGGAAGTCATTTTACAGTGGTGCCTCGCTTAATGAGCGCCCCGTTTAACAACGAATCCACAAAGCGATGTGGATTTTGCGATTGCAAAAGCGATCGCATTGCAACGTTTTAAATGGCCAAAAATCTCATTGCGATGATCAGTAAGCATTTCGCTTACCGGTCTTCGCATTGTGATGTTTTAAAAACAGCTGATCGGCGGTTCCAAAATGGCCGCCTGAAAAAATGGCTGCCCGCAGCATTTTCGCGCGGTTTCCTCGCATACTGGGTGGCAAAAATGGCGGCTGTATGGAGGATTTCCGCATAGCGGTGAGTTCCCCCCCCATAGGAATGCATTAAATGTGTTTTTATGTGTTCCTATGGTCTTTTTAGTCCCGCATAGCGACGAATCCAGATAGCGACGATTTTTTCAGAACGGATTATCGTCGCTATGCGGGGCACCACTGTATCTCCTATCCTGCCACAGCTAGCACTGATCACTACTGGAGCAATAATGTAGCTTTCCCACAATTTACCGAGCTCATGGGCATTTCCTGCCTTCCGATGCTGGCTTTCCACTCCTGCATATCCTTTCCCTACTGCACAGAGCCCTAGACATTTCTCAGCTCTGAAAGTAAGCACAGCCCAATGCATAGATGATAAATAAAGGAAGCAAATGTCACTTTAATATTTATTTATATTGTATACATACAAAGGATGATAAGATGCCAACAGTTGGTTATTAAAATATAGTAGACCAACCAAGTTTTTTTCTTTTTAGAATGATTACGGTAAATGTATTTGAATATTGTCCAGAGAATGGTAGCAACAGCGGGTACTATGCCTGTTTATATGCTGCTGTGGCCAAAGGTACACGGTACTACACATAGTGTGGTGTAACAGATGTGGTTTATGTAGGCTTTGCAGCATTATTTTGCTTATCTCTGGTACAGAAATCTTTTGTACCTTGGTATAGTGGACAGTGTGCAGTTTCTGCACCAAGACCAAGTTTGGTTGGTTGGAATGAAAGAAGAATGTAGTTTATTTATATTACTTAAGAAATATTTTCATGATATGATTGATTGTTCGGAATTCCAAATGCTTTACATTTTATGCTCAAGTACCAGTTTCCAAAAACTGTGAACAGAGATGGGAGTCTACAAATCTCAAAGTTAGATGTTTAAAGAAACAATCCAGAGTTGTTGTTGTTGTTGTTTTTAAAAAAACACCAATAACAACCCAGCTATAGATGAAAATATTGACTGCAGGATAATTTATGAGTCCAAAGGATATAAAGCATTTCAATGGCAGTGTGCCATGGGAGATCTCTCCTTGAAAATTTTTATTTAGGGTTTTGTTTAATAAATTCAAAACATGGTTTTTGTGGGTTTTTCGGGCTCTTTGGCCATGTTCTGAAGGTTGTTCTTCCTGATGTTTCACCAGTCTCTGTGGCCGGCCCGAAAAGCCCACAACAACCATCAGAATCCCGGCCATGAAAGCTTTCGAAAATTCAAAACGGTTGAAGAAAATTGTAAAAAAAAATGTAAAAGGGAGCAATAAGAAATTATCCAACATATCTAGCAGCACTAATAGAGAGTCATCAGAAAGCAAAAACAAAAGAGCCCCCAAAGAAAGTCAATGTATGTTTGTGTACCTGCTCATTAAATGGAATATTTTTCCTCTCGTCTTTTTCTTTTTCTTTCCTTTTCCAAAATCACATTCCATCGAGTACATTTAGGGCCCTCATGCCAACATTACTGTGCCATTTAGTATTAAGCATCCTTTTATCTCACTTGCTCAGTTCTCCCTGCATGTGAAGACCACACAACTTGTCTATGAACACAGCAGTCACCAGATCTCTTTGGTGAGAATAGTTGCTACTACTACTAGGAAGGTAACATCTGAATTTTTTGGACTCCCAACTCCCAAAATTCTCCAAGAATTCTCCTGGCAGAATTCTTTCCAGGTGCTGCAGTTCTTCAGGAGGCGCCTTCTATAGAGGCTAAAGGGCAATGAGACTACCACTCTCGGCTTCCATTTTTGTACGTTAACAACAGGAAGTCGGTCCGAAACAGTCGCGCAGGCTGCCAGATAGGCCCGGCTCCAAATAAGTGAAATAAAGGGGTCTGAAGGTGTCCGCAGGTGTAGAAATAAAAAAATTTAAAAACCCTGAATGGCACTTCCCTTGTTGCTGCATCCCATGGCAGGAATCCAGAAACCCGTTGTGTCCTGTTCCTTGCATAATTAGCCATTCCAATGCCTTTAGCCATTGTTGTATGGCAGTTACCTTGCAGGATCGTTCTTCCTACCAAACCAAAACTGGCATTTGCCAGAGCTTGACTTCTATGTGCTGATGCAAGGGAGACTGAAAAAGGGAAGTGGATTGTGGATTGCATTTCCGAGCATCAATGAAACATGAAGAACAAATGCAACCACCTTGATGTTGGAACTAGAACCAGGAACCTACACTGCTTCTTACCAGCTTTGACATTTATAATAATATAATAATAATTTTAGAACTGCAGAGCTATAAGGGGCCCTATGGATCATCAAGTCTAGCTCCTACCAAGGAAGCACAGTGGGGAATTGAACTCCGAGTCTCTGACTTTGCAACCAGATAACTAAACCACTGAGTTACGTAGCCGTTCCTTGCTTCTTGTGTGGTTTTTAGCAATGTTGAAAACTATTTTTGAACGGTCAAGAGCATTTTAATGGGCAGAATGGCAACATCACATCAATTGGAAATGTCTTACATTAAGAATTTCTTGAATGTTGTATATATACTGTATTTGAAAGAGCGCTTTGGAAATAGTTTGTACATTACTTCCCAATTTATACATGATTTTTAGTGTTAATATTTCTAACTGTTAATAACAAAAATATTTAATGTGTTGTCCATTTTTATGTATGTATTGTTGTGGAAACTAAAAGGTGATGCCAGCATTTTAACTTTTTTTCATTACCTGTATTATATTTTCTGTTTTGTAATACAGAATGTTGAAACATGTTTTTAGGTTAAAATCAATTGATTGTGAAGCCAAGTAATGGTACTTTTTCGTATGATGGAAAGACTTTAAAAGGACTGGTGTAATCATATTTGAAGTCTGTTTTTTTTTTAAAAAAAAACAACAGCCTGCAAGTTCAATGAAAATTATAAATCATTCACACTCCTTTTATAATCTAAAATATTTCAAGTAAAGGTCATTGCATGAAAAAAAGTGTTAATAGCTAACTGGTCCTATAAACAAAGCACAAAATCCTCCTCTGCCTTATCATTCTATGGAAGTCCCCATCGGTTCTTGAAGGCTATATCAGTAGAGTACAAGCTCTGGCAGATTCTACTAGGGTGGTAAGACTCTGAATCTGTCCCTAAGTGACAGTCGTCCATTAGAGAGGACCAGCATAGCTGTTTGTCACCAGAATGCTGGCCACCAGGTGGTGAATTGGTTTCAACAACTGTGAACTGGAGATGGGCATGAGTCAGAAAAATGGTAATTTATTTTGATTCATGATTCATCAAGATTGATGAATCAAAAATAATACATTTACAATTTTTTTCTGATGAATCAACTCGTTTCTAAACATGTGCCCCCCAGCACCTAGAGATACCAAAATCACAGTGATTTTGACTCTCCTCTGCATTCCTTCCACGTTTGGTGGTTTCAGACATCTATGTTACACATCCACAAAGCGGGTCCCCCTAGGAAAGTGCTCTTTAGCAGTTGGCTTGGGGAAACCCAATCTTCACCAAACTAGGAGATATTGTAGAGGAGAGTCATGGGAAGCTTCTCAGTGATTTTGGTGTCTCTAGGTGCCTGGGGAGAAATGCAGCCAGATATCTAAACCACTGAGCTATCCAGCCACCTTAATGGATTTAGTGAGCTTATTGTCTGCCTGTTTCAGAAGTGTTCCTAGGTTCAGAGTTCCCAGGGCTTCCCTGGAATTTGTCACTGAAATTCAGAGATAGAAGTAAATGTCAACAGTATATTAATGATAGCTCTGAACAAGATGGAACCTTGAAGTATCCTCCATGCTAAAGTCTGTGGGGTGGAGCAGGATTCCCCCAAGTGCCAGTTTCTAGGTAGGTCCAGAAAGGAGCAGAGGTAATACACCATTGCTAAATTTTATATCATCATGGCAATCCACAAAAATACTGGAGAAGATAGTACTGTACTGTATATAGAAAGCCATTAAGAGATTGAAGAGAACAGGACTGAAGAGTGCTTCAGGCATAATTTCTTACTTAGAGTTACACTGCAAGTAGAAAATGCTTTGCCAGATGTGTGCTAACCATAATGTCTTGGAGTACACCTGGATGATGACACAGTGTGAAAACCATACTGTTTGTCTTGTAGATTTCAAAAATAGTAAAATGAAATTTCAATTCAACAGTGACTATGAGATAAAAGTTTGGGGTGCTCTTTCCCATGCCCTTTGTTGAAATTTTCAGTTATCTTTCATCTGCCTCTCCTCTAGCTACAGATCTGCCAAATTTTCGGAGGTTTGTTCTGCTTTTAGGTATCTTCTCTTGAGTCCTTCAGTTGCCTTTGCTTTTGTTTCCCTGCCGATTGCTGTTCTGAATTAGTAGCTCATCAGTACCTCAATCCCAGGGCATCATCTGAGGGTACATAATGTATTTGCCATGCAATACAAAGCAGCCTCTGACCTAGTTAGTGTTTTGATGGCACTTACTGTTTTGAGGGACTCTCATGTAGATGTAGGCCACTTCGAGCTATGTGGCAGAAGAAAAGTGGGCTATAAATATCCTAAGTAAATAATTTGCCCATCTTCAGATTGACCATTGACTGGTTTTTGCAGTAATCTAGAATATTGGCAGCAATACCCATCACAACCATTTCAGAAGGTGGCGGTGGGCTACGATGATGGACAACAGTAATGGCTGCTTGTGCTTCACTATCATCTTCTTCCACAATTTAAAGCAAGTGATGGTGCAAGGTCGTATCTGCCTAAATTTATAACCAAATGGAAAGGCTCATTAGGTGTGTATGTAGTTTAGATTGGCTGAAATGGAAGGTGCCATTGGTGTGAGGATTCTGGAGAGTATGCAGGGGTACACAATAACAAAAAGGTACCAGAATAGGGGGAAACTGAAGTATGCATATTTGGGTTTTTTGCATACAGTTCTCAGAATTGACAATATGGCCCTTCTGATGGGGGAATTCTGGGAGTTGTAGTCCAAAAAAACAAATATGCAATAATGGGAAGCCTAAAGCTTCCTAGAGTGAAAAAAGCTGGGGGAGGGACAGTTCAGTTTTGTTTTCCTAAATTTTAATTTCAGCAGACTATGAGATTTCCATAGATAGGCAGGCACTTCTACTCTGGTGTGAAGCAGTTGTCTTTGGGTCATTTAGGCATCATCTAACTTTGGACTAGAATAGTTAAAAGACTGCACAATCCATAAATTTCCTATTTGATGTGATTTGGTTAGCATGTTGCTTTTTTAAAAAAAAAACAATGCAGAAGTATTGGTAAATAAAGTTAATAAATAGCTCAGCATTGCTTCTGCTATCAGTATATTTACAATAATTATAATCATATAGGACTCATGTAAAATCAAATGGAAAGGCTAGTCTAATCCAGCCTTCTATCTTCAGTGGCCAATTAAGATTCCTATCGGAAACCTAGGGGGAGCCATGAGTACAAAAGCTATGTCTGCTTTAATAGATGATGGAAGTTGTTTATTTTTTTTATTGGAATGATGGAAGTTGTTTATTTTTTATTGGAATATGTGAACAACAGAATGGGCTCTTCAAAAATTATCCATCAGTACAAATAAAATTAGTATGTCAGTTTCAATTACATATTAATTCGCATTCATGATTATGGAACAAAACCGGTGTTGTTTCACTTTAAACACTAGCAATTTTATTACAGCACAGGGCTTTCCAGGCCAACAGCCTGTTTTATCCAATGGTTCTGCTTAGTGACACTACAAACCATCTAGTTTTTCTTGTCAAACCCACACAACTGTTAGCTTTTAACAGACCACACCATCCAGGCAGGGCTTGGAAGCATTTATTTTGTACTACCACTCCCAGAATCCCCTAGCCACCTAGCAGCTGAAGTCCCAAAAAAGAAGCCTCAAGCAAACATAGAAAAAAAAAGGAAGGCAGGCAGAAACGTCGTGGCACCTTAAACACTAATTGCTAATATTTCAGTGTGAACTTTGGAGGACAAGTCCACTTCAGACATAAAAACAGCCAACTCTGTGGAAGTGGACATATCCATAAAAACTCCCGTTAAAATATCGCAATTAGTCTTTAAGGTGCCACAACATTTTTCGTCTTATTTTTAATTTTTTTTTCTTTTGGTTTTGAAAAAAAAGTACAGTCGTTTCCAAACTCTGAGTGCTACACCACTACCGTAATAACCAACACACCTATTCTCCACAAATATTTACCTCAGGAACTGCCGGTCTCTCTTATAGCCGAAGAGCCCTCCACTCCGGTCCCTCCCGCGGCCGCCTTGGCCAATCCCAAGGCTGCTATTTCCTTTCCTCCAATCCCATTGGACCCATTCTTAAAAGGAATACCCTCCAGCGACAGCTGCCCATGCGCCGTCCCGAGTCACCACCACCACAGCCGCCGCCTCAGGGCTCCCCTAACCAATTTGCCAGAACTGCGCCTGCGCAACGTGCCAACGCACGAGGGGGAAAAAGGGGAACGGTCTGAGACTTCGGCCACTACGTAGTCTCCCTCGGCGGGCGGGCGTGACGTCAGGGCGCGTGCTGGTGACGCTTCGAAGTCGCCCCGGCCTGTTAAAAAATGGCCCCTTTAGAAGGAGGTGTGGGGTGGGTGTGAGGTACTGTGTTGTTTGCAATTGCGTTTCTTTTGCCCGGTTTCCTCCTCCTCCTTCTCCTCGCGCTCCGTAACGGCCTTTCGAGCGGCTTCCACGGTGCCGTTGAAAACGTTAAAAGGAAAGCTAGAAAGATCTAATTCGGAGAAGGGGGATTAAACGAGGAAAGGGGAGCTGAAGCGGTCTTTATTAGACGGAGGGCAGCGAGAGGAGCAGCTGTGGGAAAATAAAAATCAATCAAGTAAAGGTAGGAAGTTGCTGGGAGGCTATTCTGAGGCTGTCACCGTCCCCAGGCCAGTGGCCGATCAGTGCCGGGGAAGGAAGGAGCCCTGTGGGACTCACGGACTCGTGGAAAAAGGAGAACGGGAGGGAGAGGAATGTAGTAAATAAAGTCACGAAAATACGGGTGGTGGTAAGTGCTGTTGTTCTTTTAAGAGTCACTTAAATTTTCTACAGGCTGACGTGGCTGCAGGGCAAGGGAAGGATAAGGTGAAACCGTCGTGGCACCTTAAAGCGTAAGGTGCTTTATTAAAAATATTAAAGGCTGTATTTTGTTAGGTGATGTTACTGTGTAGGCATCCTTCAGTCTCGAGAGATTATGGTAACGTGCTCTGAATAGAGGTCTTGGAACAGCGTCTAGTGTGGCTGAGAAGGCCAATTCGAAAGTGACGGTCCCTTCCACAAATCCAATCTGTCCCCTGTCCAGCTCCCTGATTTGGCTGCTTTCGGGACTGCCTCTTTGCCTCAGCCTGCTGGACAAGGGTCTCTTCAAATTGGGAGAGGCTGTGATGCACCGCCTGCCTCCAGGCCGAATGCTTAGAAAATCAAGGTTTCCCCATCTGTTGAGGTCCATTCCTAAGGCCCTCAGATCCCACTTGCTATGTTAAGGTGATGTTAAGTTGCTTCTTATTTGTGGCATCCAAAGGTTCCTACTGATTACAACCCTACTTAGGTCTTGCAGACTCAGTGGTGTGGTTTCCTTTATTGAGTCAGTTCATCTCATGTTAGACTTTCTTCTTTTATTTCTGTCTTCCACTTCCCTTAGCATTATCATATCGTGCTGTGTCCACATTATGATAACTCCATTGTAGTCCTTTTGCCTTCTAGCAAGAATTTGCGCTGCATTTGATCAAACCAAGCCACTTATTTGTCTTTCTGGTGATATGTTCCTTTATTGAGTCAGTTCATCTCATGTTAGACTTTCTTCTTTTATTTCTGTCTTCCACTTCCCTTAGCATTATCATATCGTGCTGTGTCCACATTATGATAACTCCATTGTAGTCCTTTTGCCTTCTAGCAAGAATTTGCGCTGCATTTGATCAAACCAAGCCACTTATTTGTCTTTCTGGTGATATGTGGGGGGGATTAAACGAGGAAAGGGGAGCTGAAGCGGTCTTTATTAGACGGAGGGCAGCGAGAGGAGCAGCTGTGGGAAAATAAAAATCAATCAAGTAAAGGTAGGAAGTTGCTGGGAGGCTATTCTGAGGCTGTCACCGTCCCCAGGCCAGTGGCCGATCAGTGCCGGGGAAGGAAGGAGCCCTGTGGGACTCACGGACTCGGGGGGATTAAACGAGGAAAGGGGAGCTGAAGCGGTCTTTATTAGACGGAGGGCAGCGAGAGGAGCAGCTGTGGGAAAATAAAAATCAATCAAGTAAAGGTAGGAAGTTGCTGGGAGGCTATTCTGAGGCTGTCACCGTCCCCAGGCCAGTGGCCGATCAGTGCCGGGGAAGGAAGGAGCCCTGTGGGACTCACGGACTCGTGGAAAAGGAGAACGGGAGGGAGAGGAATGCAGTAAATAAAGTCACGAAAATACGGGTGGTGGTAAGTGCTGTTGTTCTTTTAAGAGTCACTTAAATTTTCTACAGGCTGACTTGGCTGCAGGGCAAGGGAAGGATAAGGCGAAACCGTCCTGGCACCTTAAAGCGTAAGGTGCTTTATTAAAAATATTAAAGGCTGTATTTTGTTAGGTGATGTTACTGTGTAGGCATCCTTCAGTCTCGAGAGATTATGGTAACGTGCTCTGAATAGAGGTCTTGGAACAGCGTCTAGTGTGGCTGAGAAGGCCAATTCGAAAGTGACAGTCCCTTCCACAAATCCAATCTGTCCCCTGTCCAGCTCCCTGATTTGGCTGCTTTCGGGACTGCCTCTTTGCCTCAGCCTGCTGGACAAGGGTCTCTTCAAATTGGGAGAGGCTGTGATGCACCGCCTGCCTCCAGGCCGAATGCTTAGAAAAGATGCACCGCCTGCCTCCAGGCGGAACGCTTAGAAAATGAAGGTTTCCCCATCTGTTGAGGTCCATTCCTAAGGCCCTCAGATTCCTTCTCCATTCCTAAGGCCCTCAGATCCCACTTGCTATGTTAAGGTGATGTTAAGTTGCTTCTTATTTGTGGCATCCAAAGGTTCCTACTGATTACAACCCTACTTAGGTCTTGCAGACTCAGAGGTGTGGTTTCCTTTATTGAGTCAGTTCATCTCATGTTAGACTTTCTTCTTTTATTTCTGTCTTCCACTTCCCTTAGCATTATCATATCGTGCTGTGTAAACATTATGATAATCCCATTGTAG